CAAAAGCTGCAAGCAAAAACTGGAGAAAAAGATAAAGAACACACACGGGATGTTTGAAGTTCATTTTTAACTCTTGAAATAAATAAAAATAACATTAGTTTCAAAACTGAGCAGAGAACCAAACGAAGCAAAACGAGTCTAGAGAAATATAAGACGTCTAAAAAAGCATCATAAAGAGCTGGAAATCACAAAATCAATCAAGCAGCCTGTTGAGCAGCAAGCCTCTTCCTGGCTTCCTCAATGATGGTCAGCTTAATACCTTTACCTTTAGGAAGAGACACCCATGGCTTTGTTCCTTTACCGATAGTGAACACATTCCCCAACCTTGTTGCAAACTCATGTCCGGTCGAGTCCTGAATGTGGATTGTCTCAAAGCTTCCCTTATGCTTCTCACGGTTCTTAATCACTCCAACACGCCCTCTGTTTCTTCCTCCAGTAACCATCACAACATTGCCAACATCAAACTTGATGAACTCGACAATCTTGTTTGCCTCCAGATCGAGCTTAATGGTATCATTAGGCTTGATGAGAGGGTCAGGGTAACGGATAGTGCGACCATCGTAGGTGTTGAGGTAGGGAATGCCCTTCTGGCCAAACTGGATAGATCGGACCTTGCAAAGCTTAAACTGTAGAGAACAAAAGAAAAGAGCAAATCTTGTTGGAACACATTTATGGACCATTATTCCCATCAAGCCAAGCATATTAATCTAATGACTACACTAAAACAAAGAGAAGAGGAGAGCAAACCTTTGCTTCCTCATCTCTGATGGAGTGGAGACGGAAACGTCCCTTGGTATCGTAGAGAAGACGGAAGTTCTCATTTGTCTTGGGAATAGACACAACATCCATGAAACCGGCAGGGTAGGTCTTGTCAGTCCTCACTTTCCCATCAACCTGGATATGCCTTTGCATCAAGATGGAAATCACTTCACCGTAGGTAAGAGCATACTTCAACCTGTTCCTGATGATAAGAACGAGGGGAAGGCACTCCCTCGACTTATGTGGTCCAGATGATGGCTTGGGGGCCTGTGAAGAACCAATATAAGCATCAGAAAATGAATATATATCAAATCAAAAAATTAATCCAAGAAGAGAGCAGAAGAAGACATACAAATGCACCACCAAGTTTGTCAAGCATCCAATGCTTTGGGGCATTAAGCCTCTTCATATGTTTCTTCAAACCCCTCGCCTGTATAATAACCAAATCGGTGTTAGAGCGATAGAAATGGACATATAATAACATCATGACCTAGAGAAGTAACACATCTGAGATCTAAACAGGTCAGATCTTAGGACAAACAGTGTCACAAGATTTCGATTCAATTCAATTGTTCTAAAGCTAAAGTAAACCATTATTCAAGTCACTAACAGAAACCACAAGAATCGAGAATCAAGTTAAGAATCAATCTAGATGTAAACAATCACTAAACTCAGAAC